TTGACATCCTATTGCAGTTTAGTTTGGGCGCAGCTTTTTCGCGCTAGCTTCGGGAATTTAATTGAGGACAGACAGCGATTTTTTTCCACTGTCAGTTCTGCAGGGAATTGGGGATGTAGCCGAATTAGCGCAGTGTACTTAACTTTTGGCACAGCTTGAATTCAAGTAATGGCAGTCTGCCTTGTAAACAAATCTATAGGGATGTGAGTAAGTCTGGTCTTCATCGAATTTGCCCTGGCGAGCACGCATTTTAGATTTCCTAGTAGTCTATTACTGTTAATCTGGGATTTGTTTTTCAGGGATTAAATCGAGGGTGGTAACCGAGAGAAATCAAAATCAGATTTTCCCCAATATTCAGTTTCGGGTCCAATTTAATAAAAATAGGGGCTTTACTGCATTACCAGTATGTTTGGAAGATTTCGAAGAGTCTGTGTTAGGAAATGTACTAAAAAAGATGCTAAGTCACATCCAAGCTCGGGTCCTCTACAGTAAGTTAACGGCCCGACCAAAAACAGGGAATTTAAGAGTAGCCTAATATGAAATATGTCTTGGCTACGACTTGAGCACCATTTACAGTGCCGCGTCTCTCAAAAAATCAATTCCGGGAAAGGAATGAGCTCCGGAAGAATTAAGCGGTGATAGATCTGTCAGAACTGAGCTGGAAAATTACGGTATTTGTCCGAGAACAAAATGATATCAGCCGACAGGGAACAGAGAAATGGAGTGTAGTACTTGTCTGGTACTTTGTTTTATCGGGATGATGATGGATCGATTTTTTAAAGAGAGTGCCATAAGTCATCCGCCCAGACGATCAGAATTGCTTGCTCTTCAACGTGCCGGATTCGATTCTTCCAGATTTGTTTTTGTTTAATACATCAAATGCTCATTAAAGGAAATACGGTGGGCACCGATGCATTATTTTTATTTAATTTCATTCATTTGCTATCATTTTCAGAGATGGCATATTCCATAAAAATAACAGTAGATGATTTAAAAAAAAGAGACAAAAAAGAAAAAACTGTGAAGCCTATGCACTTGTATGCTTGGCTTGTACTACACCCCGTGGGTGGTGATTATCAAAGTGACGTCTAGATTAGGCTCACACAGCAAGGTACATTGACATTTTCATGAAAATCAGGGTGAGAGCTGCTTACCTCTGTAGACCAGAATCCAGTACAAAACCATCATACACAGCGCGCTGTTCGTGGCTATGTTAAACAATGCCCAGGAAAGTTTCAGATAACCGTGCATATGTGAGTTGCAGGCACTTGTAGCATACCCTGAAAACCAGTAGACAATGGATTTAGCTCATGTTAAAACACGTACAATCACGCGCACACCCACTCTAAACATGGACGCACGAAAACACTCCCATGCGATTTACTTCAACAAAGGCTAATAATACCATAAAATCCCCCCCGGAATAATAATGAAAAAAAACGTCTTCCTAAGGGAAGTTAAATTAAGTTAATTTATTTAAAAACACCAATTTTCGCCTGAGATAATTTTGTTCCAGAAAACTCTTGTCCTCTGTCATAATAAATAGATTGATGAGGATATTATTAAACTACGATTTTGGAAAATTGCTGTGCTCCTTCACGGGTTTATGATGCATTAAGGGTAGGGATGGGCTTTCTTTCAGTTCATCCACAAGACAATTATATAGTTAAAAAGTACCTGATTGGATTTGTACTGGATTTTTATCCATCCAATATATGCTACTGATACCAGAAGATAGGCCCATTGAGTTATTTTTCACGATGGCATCGAAGTTCAATTAAAAACCGACAAGATTACGATTATTCAGTTCGTGTTTTGATTGTTGAAACAAGAAATGCTTGCAGGGGGAAAAGTGGGAACTGTGAAAACAATGTCATGTTACTAATCAGTTCTAAATTTTGCGTCATCTCCTTTCTCCAGTGGTAAATACAACACGCTGCGACCACGTTGGAAGGCTTCTTTTATATAACACAAAGTACTTTCTACTACTTGATAGGTGATCCTCCTTTCTACTGAATCTCTCACTTTTCAGTGTTGAGCGTGGTGTCAAGTCGTTGTGACATTTTAACAATTTTGCTCACAATGAAACAGAAAAAGGAAATTGTTTAGGCAGAGGCTCGGGTTTGCCATGAGTACGGTGTGATTTGAATGTCAACATAGAAAATGCAGCGTTATTCATAAGCTAACAAACACGGCGGCGAGTTTTCGATACCCAAGGAGCTAGTTCAACTGCAAAATTCTGCGAATTCTGAATTTACTACTTTTGTCACGTAAATGTCTTTCTGTTTGTAGCAGTGACAGTAAAAAAAATAAAGAAAAAAAGAAAGAAATAACGCAGCTTGTCACCAAAATTAGAGCTACATGTACATGTACATGTTTCTTTGGCTTTAATTCAACCATCATTATGTTAACTCTCGACCTCCAGTGTAGGCTAATCTCAAATGAACGTGTTTACACGCTTGTTAGCCGCAAAAGTAAGATGAAGCTTAATTATGTCTCCGTCTTAACAACGTCTAATTTTGAAAGAGCCTAGCCTGTGCTTTGTGAACCACCACCGAAGAAAATTGGATTAATTTCCTTCACAGAGAATCCATCACATTTATCCCATGACCTCTTTGCCGGAAAATATTTTAGCGTATTTTGGAATCGATAGTAATGCACTTCTCAATAATTGATGGATGAGAGACATATTTTTTTGATCCGAGAATGGCATGCTCTATCTAGATTACATATTGTGCTCTTTGTCTTACATGTGATGGTAGGCAAGGTAGGCAGCGATATCAGGTTTTAATGACAAGATAAAAGATATAGGACGTGATGAGTTTCATTTAAAAGGAGAAATCTTTTTAATATTACAGTGTATGTTTATATGGAAATAGGTTCGAAGTTCAAAAATATCATTTTTAGGCCGTGATTCACATTGAAAGGACATGAAAATGCGCATCTGTGCAGTTTAATACGCCCACAGTGACACGCACAAACAGGAACATGCTCACACTGGCTCTCTCTTGATTACAGCAGCACGCACACACACACACACACACACACACACACACACACGCAGAGGAGAGAGGGAGAACGAACTAACTATATTACATAGTTCTTTAAATAGAGAGGAAGAGAGGAGGAGAAATAAAGAGGGTTCTATCTCATTTAATTGTTTCAGTTCACGATTGCCGGGAGCCCGTGGTAAAGGCGTACACAGACTCAAAGCTGTGGGAGGCGTACCTGTTAACACGCGGTCTGAGCGACACTGCCCGCAGCCAGAGGGAACTGAATGCTAAAGAGAAAGAAGAGGAAGGCATGAAAAAGTCAGTATCTTTCATCGACTAGAATTTCAAAATGCATATTTCACAGACTATTAAATATCTGCACCTACCTTTAGGATATGAACCAGATATGTGCATATCTCTAGGGCATGTCGTTTGATCTGTTAAATTATGATTGGTGGGCCAATATAACCAACCATAAAAAAAACAATGCATTAATATATGTAACAAATAATTTTATTGAGCATACCTTCAAGACAAACAGGTCACAGTGTTTTCTGCACGTTAACAGCACAAGCATGGCACATCTAACGCATTTATCACAACTTGATTCATTGTAATATGACCGATTTTTATTTCATATTTTAATGTACAACATGTCACTGCTTTTTATAGCAATGCTTGGTTATTTGCTTTGAGTTGCACGCATATGAATGAAGTAAGAATACT